TCGTGGTTGCAGAATCCAAAGGCCTCCTGAAGACACCATCTCTGGAGCTGCCAGTTGACTTCCCTGATGCGGGCATCCTGGCGCCTTCAGCTGCTGCCAACTGGAAGGATGGAGGAGAATACCACCTGTGTCCCTTACTTGCTGAGCCTGACCCCCCCAGCTCATGGAAGTCCTTCGTGATGTGGTCAGGACTACTCCCAGCTGCAGTTTGTAAATCTTTTTAAACTAGTAGATTAATATGAGGAGCTGGTGTCTTCTTGCTTTCACGTGGATCTAATCTATTGTATTACAGAGCAGGTATTCTGTCAATGACATTTTAGCCAAGGATTCCCTGGCTCGGATCCTTTGGGACACAAGAGTGTGAGTTGTTTTATAGATCATTCAGCCTTCTTATTTATATACTAAGAGATGAACTGAATCCTTTTTCTTGTGTATGTTTTATAGATTACTATAAGGAATTGCATATATATAAATTTATCTAGAAATCTAGATACAGAAATATAGTTATTTGTATATAGCTAGATAGATAGCTAGATAGGCTTTACCTTTGCAAATCTTTCTGAACTGAATACAGGAGGTAAATCTTAAAGTCTTGTTTGGGACCTCTTGCAGTATCTAGATACTAATGTGACACTGGCTTTTATAAGAGTTGATCATTATAGGGTGTTATTTTTGTATAGATCTACTCGCAATGTGTCTGGGTTTTAGCTTTCTTTTAGATCTATCTGTGTAAAATGTTTTAAAGACATGTACAGCAGGCTGTAGATGTAACCCCACTTGGCAGCGTGGAAATGTGGTTGTTGAAAATGGTGGGGTTTGTACAGTGCCCTGCAGATGGTTCAAAAGGACATTAACCTTCTCCCACCCCCCTTGCTCTCACACTTAAGGAAAGCTTTACCTGGTAAAATGCAGTTGTTCTTCTGTCAATTGTGCTGGGGCCCTACCATGGGATTGTGTAAGCATCTGGAAGAGCACAATTCAGATCTTCCTCATTATGGGTGTGTGCACAGTGATGTACAGAGTAAATTCTGAATTATATCAGAGCAGCTTTTAACATGTAGGAAACTCCATTCTGCACTTTCCTCTCTTATGGTTGTGAAGTGATACCTTCCCAAGGCTTCTTATCACAGCCTTGTGGGAGGTGACTATCATTCAGGAAGGAAATTACCCTTCCTATTTTACAGGCAGTAGGGCTGGGGTTCATGCCTTGTTCTCCATTTACTAGTGAATTTTGTCTAATTCCAAGCAGTGGGGCTGATGCTTCTTTTCTTTAGCTCAGGCCATAGGGTAGTCACTATTTGAGCGTCAACAAATTCTTTATGTCATTTATCTTAATTCTTCCTGTTTCAGTTCTGTCCAGTGTCCCTGAATTTCATATCCCCACATATGTCAGTAAACAATTTCTCTTCCTCCTTGAAATGGTTGCTTATTATTATGGCCTCACCCTGTTTGGGTCAGCACCCTACTCCCTCTTCATCATCACCTGTCCATACCAAGACTGTCTCTCCCTTCCCTGTTAGCACACAGTGCACCCACCCACAAACTTTGAGAACCACATGTCTCTTTTTTGATTATCTTAGCTGTCAATTCAAGGACTGGTTGAATGAATGGGTTCACCTTGAAGTAAAACTCTTTGTGTGTCCAGTGTCCTGGGCTGGCAGATTCCACAATGGAAAAGGGCAGTTTGGGCTTAGCATTGGAATTTCATTTGGACATTGATATTTCTTATTCTTTCAGGAGTTATCCAGCGCTGCACAGCTGTCAAGTACCACTATACCTCTTCTTCCCTGCCCCGCAACTTGCCCATCAACATCACCAACACCATCCGGCAGGACGAATGGCATGCACTCCGTAAGTGATCCAAACTCTTAACAAGTCATGCACCACTCCTAAACCAGGTACTAACATGTTCAGAGCCTTTCATCTCTTGGTTGTTGCCAAGCTGGGGCCTTGGCTCAGAAGCTAGAGGTTGGCATCTAGAACCAAATGCATCTTGGGTATAGAAGCTGGAAGACAAGTTGTCTGTAGTAAAGCCTAGAGAAGAGTTGGAAAGGTTAGTCTAGGGGTGATATAGATGGCTTTGGGAGTAGTTCTGATGTGATGGAGGCATTGGTGCGATTTCATGGGTAGCACTCTGGGCTACCTGTGCTTAGTGCTCCGTACTCTGCATTGCTTACTCAGTGTTAAAGGATTAAGTAATGTTCCTTAGGTCATGGATAGAAATGTGTGTTCATTTATATTTGTACAGTACCTGTCATTCCCTCCTTGTGCTCAACCTTTGCAGCTCCTCACCTCTTGCAGCCTCCACTCCCAGAAAGCATCCCATCCACACTCTTTCACCCCACTTGCCCCTTGTGCTACCCCTCTACTCCAAACTTCTCCCAGCCGCCTTCCACTTGCAATCCACTTGAAAATGCCTCAACCCACCTCCCCCTATATGTGCTTCCCTATCAAGTTCTCCAACCACCATTTTTCCCCACTGTCAACTTCTACCAAGGCCCAAACTGCAGGAGCATCTGTGTGTAATGTCAGACATACTCTGTATTGTGCTCTGTATCCTGCTACTCACTGCAGTAGCAGGACACCTGTTTTCAAACCCTACTCAAAATACATAAGTAGAGGTAAAATCTATTTTTGAAGCCTATAAACAAAGAAAGGGAAGACAACGGCTGATTCATCTGCTATATCTAGTATGTTAAATATAACAACCCCCTTCCACATGCACACCCCCTGGTGGCGGGGGGGACTTTCAGA